TCATAATCCTGCATTTTTTCTCAATGTAATATCTTATGGCTCTGAATAAGCTTGCATTTAAGAGAAGTTCAAACATCATATCACAAGCGAATATATTCGTCTAATTGTAGTAGAGACTGTTATGCTCTCTCTCGAGGCACTCAGAAGTGATTCAGCTGCTTGGGGTACCGTACAGTACCACCCGCGTGAAACCGACCCCATCCCACGTGGGGAGAGACTCCTATTCTGTGCTCCTTCCCACACCGTGTCACGTCCTTCGTCCGCCGTTTGCGGGGACGCACGGAAGGCAACGAAATTCATCCCGTGCCGATTCGCCAAGCCCAACTGCTGCCGATGGCAACGGCGCGTAAGCGCTTGCTGCCGTTCACTCTCAAAGAGTGAATCCGCATCGCCGCTGTAGTTTCTCGCCGCGTTTACGTCTTCTTCGCAAATCTCCTCGCGGATTCTGCCGTGCCGTTGCGCGGGGTCGTACCCCCCTCCGCACATCCGCGTCGACAGAGGGGTGCGACGAGCGGGATGCATGGCAGCCCATTACGTCGTCCGCTCGCGGTCTATCGCGTTAAATGCGTCTCCCCATTCACTCGCTACTTCTCTTGATTGCCTCGCCACCGCTTTGCACCGTTCAATATTGGGTTTTCCTGGCCCTTCCTCTGCGGCTAGTCTTACCCTCGGAGCTTGCCCGAGCGACTTAGATTCTTTTCGGAATGTTCGCGGCGGCAACAGCAGAAGAGACAAGCACAGCAGCAGCAGAAGAGACAAGCTTCTTGCCGTTCCGCCCCGCGCCTTCCACTCGTCCGCGGCTTGCGCGCGGAAACACCGCGACAAGTGGCAGTCGGTGAGTCGTCGCTGCTCTCGCTCCCTTTTCCCTGCTCTTTCTCGCGTCTAGAACCCGTGTTTCGCAAAAGCGTTGCACGGCGGCATGCGCTCACTGCCCCATGCACGCACTGCTTCATGCGCGTTCTGCCCCATGCGCGCACTGCTTCATGCGCGCACTGCCCCATGCGCGCACTGCCCCATGCGCATACCTCCCCACGGCCATTTCCCTCATCACGGCGTGCCAAAGCACGCGAAGTTGGTTTTGATCCGCTTCAAGAACAGCCCGCAAATTCACATGCTCTCCTCGTTGCTCCCTGCACCCCATTACCTTCCGCCCCGTTTCCCCCCTCTAATTCCTCAACCTCCGCAGACCACGTGTGATGCGGACCAGGCAACAAGCAAGGTGAGCCTTCGCTTTCCCCCTTCAACTCCTTGCCCTTCTGCTCCTCTTGTCTTCCGTTCATCTCTCCTGCCAGCCTCTTTCCTGCGTGAAGGCCCTTGTCCCACTTCCCTCTTTCTGTTTATCTCTGCTCTCTTCTATCCCTCCACTCCTCTCTCTTGCTCCATTCCTCTCCCTCTCCTCCCCTCCCCCTCACTCCCCTCCCACTCTCTCCCCTCCCCCTCTCCCCGCCGTCTCCCTCTCTATCTCTCTCTCCCCCTCCCCACTCCCACCGACCGCACAGCACCGGCAGTACGAGCGGCGGCAGCAGCGCGCGGCTTCAAACAGGGAGCTGAGGCGGTGGCGGGGCGTGCAGGGCGGTGCAGTGAACGTGGACGACGCACAGTGCGTGCTAGAGGCACGGCAGTGTGGCATGGACGTGCGTGGGCCGTGGAGCAGGGTCACCATGATGCATGATCATCACGCCATGCCGCATGCATGGGACAGCCATGGCGGTTCGCGGCGCAACCAGCAGCAGCAGCAGCGAGAGGAGGAACAGCGGGGTAGAGATGAGGATGAGGGGGGTTGGACGGGAAGTGGCTTCGGGGAAGGGGGGCGTGGAGGTGGGGGTGGGAGGAAGCAGCCGTGGGTGCATTATTGGCAGCACATGAAGGCACGGGAGATTCAAGAGAGGTACGAGGGGGCTGCTACCATCAACTATCCATGGCCCTTTTTCGTTACGCTGTACCCTTCCCGCACACATGGCCCTTTCTCCTCTCTCTTCCTCTCTCCTCCCCCTCTCCCCTTTTCACTCCGCCTCTCTCCTCCCCTCACGCCTCCCGCCCTTGCAGGTTGCGAGACCGCTCCTTCGCAGCAGCGTCCTTCCACTGGGACGGCTCCTTCTCCTCCTCCTTCGCCCGCCACCCCTCCTCCGTCCGCTTCTTCCGCTCAGCACGCCGCAACCACCAACCCTTCTCCTCCTCCAATGGCGCAACTGGAGATTTTCCGGGCGGATCAGCAGAGCATTTTGACAATGAGGACGCGTGGAGGGGACACGGCGGGGCAGAGAGGGACGGGGGTTACCGCGGGTGGTCGCGGGCAGATGAGGCGGAGGCGTGGCGGAGGCAGCAGCAGGTGGACTCATACATGGATACCGGAGAGGTGACATACGATCATCTGCGGCATGACCACGACCACGACCATGGGGACTACGAGCCATACGGCACGGGGCATCAGCAGAACGCCTACTACAAGCGGTGGGCCCCGCCGCGAGACAATCCGTGGGAGCGGTTCGGGCAGATCTGGCAGGAAACGGAGAGGATTCGGATGGAGACAGAGAGGATTCGGAAGGAGAGGGAGGAGTGGGCATCGAGAGGAGATGCAGGGAGGGGCAAGGACGGGCTGAGCTGGGAGGAGATGGAGATGAGGCGGCTGCTAGGGCTGGCCACTCAAGGGCCCCTCACCCAGGCGTCGTTGAAAGCAGCGTGAGACCCCCACCCCCACCTTCTACCCATTGCCTTGCCTCTTTCCAATGCCGTTTCTCTCGCTGTCGCTGCACTGTGTAGGCTCTAGGCACGGTGCCATGTGTGCCCCTCCGCGTGTGACGTGACCCCCGTGGGTGTGCAGGTACCATCGGTGTGCGAAGCAGTGGCATCCGGACGCACATCACGGGTTGAAGCCAGAGGCCCGGGTGAGCTGGGTGCACGCGCGGTGGGGGCCAAGTCAACATGGGCCACGCAGGGCACGGGGGGCTTACTGCTAGCTGCACGAGCTGACTGCTAGCTGCACGTGCTGACTGCTTAGCTGCACGTGCTGACTGCTTAGCTGCACGTGCTGACTGCTAGCTGCACGTGCTGACTGCTAGCTGCACGTGCTGACTGCTTAGCTGCACGTGCTGACTGCTAGCTGCACGTGCTGACTGCTTAGCTGCACGTGCTGACTGCTTAGCTGCACGTGCTGACTGCTAGCTGCACGTGCTGACTGCTAGCTGCATGTGCTGACTCTTCATTCCTGCTCTCATTTCTTCCCCTTGTTTCAACTCTTTCCCTGCTCGTTTGCTGCCTCCTTATTGCCTCCCTTGGTATCTGTTCCTCCCCCTCCACAGGCTGAGGCAGAGCGGCGCTTCAAGCTCATCTCAAGTGCTTATGAAACCCTGTCCGCACGCCTGGCCAAGTGATGCATGCAGCGTGCTGCATTTAGCAAATGATGAATGCATGCATGCATGCATGAGTGCACGGTCGCACCTGCTGTGGCGACTCATAATAGTTGAACACACACAGATGCGCTTACACGTATGCACATGCACGCATGCAGATACACATGCACACACATACAATACACTTGTACTCTCGTCGACGCACATGCACACGGACACAGGGACACACCTCACAGCACACACACATGCACATGCACATGCACATGCACATGCACATGCACATGCACATGCGCACACGAAGGCATCAACCCCATGTCTCTTCCTGTGCCACTAGTCCAGGCATGATCCCACCCCACCACCAGCCACGTCGGTCCCTCCCATCTCAACCATTCAACCAACCGACCAGCTGTGGACCACTCCTAGCAGCTCCTGCGGATGGAACACCCCCGCCCGCCCGCCCAGGCCCCCAAACCGACTCATCCCATCACATTCCTTGGAGGCTGGAATAACCTCTTGCTTCATGGGTTGTGTTCTGTACCGTACATACGTAGTGTATTACCGGCAGTACACTGTATCCTTGGCGCACTTTACTGAATTATTTCATGCCGAGCTTGGTTTCCCTGAATGTATACCCTTCCCGAGCCATCCTCATTACGGTCCCACATGCTGGAAGTGCTGCCTCAGAATATTCTCTGATGGTCAGTAGTACAGGTGAACATGGGAGAATAAAAGCTGTCAAGCTGACGATTCGCACAGCAGCAACTGCTGCCTACCGTATCATTTTTCTCTAGTGACCAGTAATGACAACGAAAGCAATTACTACAGTACGAGCGGGCCCTGTAAACAAGGCCAAGCAATTGTGTTGGAATCTACACACATTGGTGCCCCAAAACTACAACACTACCACTATTATTTGACACTATAGGTATCATTGCATTAACAGCCGTCCGCCACTCCACTCCACACCTCTGATGATGGCTACCGAAAAGGACCGAGAGGCTGGGAAGTGCTGAGGCAGTCTCTGTAAGCATGCCATGCCGTGCACTTGATGAAACACTGACCTCATCATTCCCCTCCCACACATCTGCGTGCCGCTGTGAACTTCGCAGTGGCACATGCACACATGGTTGTTTCAGTTGAAATAACCACCAATGCACATGCGCATGCCCATGCACATGCACATGCATGCTGCTGCTTCTGCTGTTGCTGCTGCTGCTGCCACACCACCACCGTTTGCTATAACCGTCAATGGTCCCTGGCATGGAACCTAGGGTGCCATGGGTGCATGCACATGCGTGTGTGTTCATCGTAATAAATAAACCCGTGCCGTCTCATGCGCTCCGCCCTTGGCTTCCCGCCCTGACACCAGGAACCAGGCGCAATGGGGAACACGGGGATGGGAGAGGACACATAGGAAGCGTAGTGGGCAAGGAGGAGGCAGTGGGAACGTCACGCCGTGAGAGGACTCAAGTGTGTGTCGTGCTGTTCCTTGGAACGATCTCCGATTATTCGAGCAAGCCCTTGGGTCCAACCAGGGCCTTTCGAGCAAGCCGTTTGCTGCTGTACAAAAGGGCCTAATCCAAGGTATTGCAATGCAATCATGTCGGCACAACATCGGAGGCGCATAGGGGGCACGGGGCACAGAGAGGGCTACTGGGCGTGGGCAGTGGGCGCAGTGACGGTTGACTCACCCACGATGACCCCGTTGTGCAGGGTCATGCAGCGCAGGCGGTGGCACGACGCAGCAGCGTTGCGCGAGCGCCAGATGGAGTAGACGGCCCCGTTGGGGAAGTGCTGTCGGTCCAGAAACAGCACTCTCAGGTGCTTGCCCCACCTGCACTCCTCCCTCCCCACCTGCCATGCACGCAGCACACAGGGGAGGTGGGATGGGAGCAATGTGGAGAGGGGAAGAAGTGGGTGGCATTTGGGGCACGGTGGATGTGAGAGGAGAGCTGTGGTTAGGGAGTAGTGTGGCGGACTTGAACGAATGAGGCTGCTGCTCATCACTCTCCCACAGACTTTTGGAACAGCTTCTCTAAACCCTCATAAAACACTCGCTTCCAACGCTCTCATCTCTCTCCACCCTCTCCTCCCTCTCCTCCCACTCCTTCCTCTCCTCCCTCTCCTTCCTCCCCTACCTCCCCTCCCTTCCCCACTCCTCCCCACATGTTCTACCCCACCGACCGCACGCCACAAGGGGCGCACCTTGAGTTCGCCGCGCTCCCCACACAGCACGTCATAAGCGGATCGATGCTCCTCCACCTCCACCCCGTCCGCACGCCCCCTCGCACTGCTCTCCCCACCGCCCTCCGTGCCCGCTGCACTGTCCGCCTGTGCCTCTGCGCGCACCGCTGCTGCATACGCCGCCACTGCCTCGAGGGCTTCCAGTGTGGGGCGGTCCGCGTGTGCAAACATGAGCCCCCCGCCTATGCTGCGCGCTCCATTGGCTGCCCGCTTGCGACTCGTCTCTGCACTCTGTGGGGTTGGAGAGATGGGCGTGCGGTGGTGTGAAGTGCAGTGCAGAGGGAGTTGAGGGCGAGTGGAGGAGAGGGGAGGGGTAAAAAGGAAGGTGAGGGGAGAACAGTGGGAGAGGGAGGGAGAAATGCGTGAGGGGACAACGGAGAGTGGCGTAGGGGGAAACGGAGGAGCAATGGTTGGGTTAGGGTAAAGAGGGAGGAAGATCTGGGGGGAAGGTCAGAGGAAGGGGGAGGAGGAGATGTGAAGGAGGAGGGCGGAAGAGGGTGGGTGGAGGTTCGGCAGGGAAGGACAGTGGTTTTGGAGGAAAGAGTGGGGATGGTGGCAGGGGAAAGGAGGAGGAGGGGGGTTAAACGAGGCGGAGGAGGAAAGGGGAGGATGGAGAAGGGTGAAGGTGGATGGGGAAAGGTGGGGGGGAAGGGACGTGGATGGAGACGATGCACAGGGGAGGGTGAAGAAGTGATGGAGCATGGAAATGTGGGGAAGTGAGAGAGAGGGGATCAGGAGTGGATGCAGGTGAGAGAGAATGATAGAGAGTGGAGGATATCAGGGCTGATCGGAATGAGTGGGCGGGAGACAAGGGAGAGCAGGACGACTTTTGAGGCGCCTAAAAGAAGAGCAGGACGCGCAAAAGCAACTGACCTGCACGGCGAGCACGTTAGGGGCCGAGCGAGAGCAGGTGCGGCAGGGGGTTGGCGAACCACACGGCATGCACGTCGGACCACAGCACTGAGTAGCCCAGACGCAGCACATGCACCGTTATCGCCACCACCGCCGACGCCACCGCCCCCGCTCCCTCCACCTCCTCCGCTGCTGCTGCTGCCTCTTGACAGGATGGAGAGGAGGACGAGGAGGAGGAGAGGCAGGGCTTGGAGGAGGCGAGGGAGGAGGAGGGTGGCGAGCGAGGGGAGGAGGTGGAGTGGAGGAAGACAGGGAGGCCGTGCAGGAAGGCCAAGGAGTACATATCCGCGTCCAGCGCTGCCAGCATGAAGTTGGTTATTTTCTAACCGCCGCAGCCTGGGGCGCGAGTTGGGACGAGGGGGTGGAGATGGGGGTGGGGTTCAGAAGAGGAGTGGGAAAGTGTGGGTGAGGGGGTTGGGATAGCGAAAAGTGAGCGGATGAGAGGTGAGGGACATGGGGTTGGTGGAAGGGCGCAGGAGTCTTGGGATTTGAAGAGGGAATGTTTTATGTGGGGAAGAATGAGAATGAGAGTGAATCCAGAAACCATGTCAGGACATGAACTGACATGCACGACATGATGTAGGTGGCATGTGTGACGAGCATGCAATAAGTGGTGCAAAGTGGTAAGAACAAGTTGCGGTGAGATGCTTGCTGGTAAGCTTCCTCCACGCACCCCTTCAAACCAGCCCTCCACTCCACTCCCTCCTCTCCCAGCACACTCGCACCACATGCTCTCCCACTCACGTGCTCCCTTACCACCACCACAAGCATCCCACCCCAGCCCTTGCTCCCAGTCACTCACTCCCTTCTAAGCCCCAGCTCTTTCGTCCCTCCCCGCACCCCCCTTCCCCCCCCCCCCCGCCCACTTCGCCCCACACACATGCAGATGAAGTTGAGCGTGGCGGTGCTGTCCTTGCTGCCAGCGCCAGCAGCACCACGGTCTGGTGCCGGTCCGCCACGCGCGGCAGCAGCTGCTCCAGCGTGTGCGGCATGCCCTCCACGCCGCGCCAGAAGGCCGCCCCTGCCAGCGCACTCCTCTGCCATGGCGTCCAGAGGAGACGACGACGACGGCAGCTGCAGCAGCGCCGCTATGCGCTGCCGCAGGGCGGACGCGGACGGCTGCGCGGAGGCAGAGGCGGAGGAAGGTGAGTGGTGCGGGGGATGCGGAGACCGCACGGGAAGATGCAGAGGAGGAGGAGGAGGAAGAGGTGGTGGTGGGGGAGGAGGTAGCAGAGGAGGCAGTGGTGAGGAGGGATGCGGTGGTGGTGGGGATGGTGGAGTGGGAGGGAGCGGGGTGGATGTTGAGGGCGAAGGAGGCGGGCGGCAGGGCTTGCAGGCGGCCGCAGAACCACCACCAGGTACCGTCGTGCAGGCGAATGTCCTCTGATGTGTGGCGCGCCAGTGGTGCGTGCTCACACGTGCAGTTGCCTGGCCTGCGCCGCCGCAGCAGACACATGGACTCGCCTGTGGCGCGAGCGGTGGAGATGGGTGGAGGGGAGTGGAGGGGGGGAGGGGAGGGGAGGAGAGAGAAGGGCGGGGAGGGGCGGTGAAGGGAGGGGAATGAGTGGAGTGGAGGCGGGATGGAGACCAGTGCACAAGAGGGCAGTGGAGGGGGGCGGAATGGAGTGGGGTGGAGTGGAGTTGGGTTGAGTGGAGTTGGGTGGAATGCCCTCTAGGGTGATTTGAAGGAGCGCAGCAGAGCGAAGGAAAAGCAAGTCGATGATATGGGGAAGAAGCTAAACATCGAGTTACTTGTATCATTCTCTTCTCAAAATCAAGAAGAAGAGTCAGCCGAGAGGAGCGAGGGGAGGAAGGAGAGGCAGAGCGAGGGGCGGCAAGGGCGGCTCCTGAAGGTGGACACGGGCGTGCCATAGAGGCTCGGGCACCACTTGCCTTGGAGCAACCGACGTGGGGGAAGGGGGGATGTGGAGATGGTGTGCGGGGTAGGCGGGGCGGAAGAGCCCTTGGTGTGGTTCGTGTTCGTGACAGGGCGGAAATATGAGAGAACGGGCCCTGGTTTCATTCGTTATTAAGCCGTTGTGAATGTGCGTGTGTGGTTTCAGGGTTCTTGGCGAGAACTGGCAGTTGTTGCTCTGTAATGGGCTCACCATTCAGCCGTGCTGTCAACTGGTTCCTTATCTCCTGGCCAGATCAGTGATCAATTCGTTCATTGCGCTTTCCCCTGTGCACCACTCCTTCATTCCACATCTCTCACTCCCCTCTTTCCCTCCCTC